TGGCTATTGTCAGCTTTCCACAACAGTAAACATCTGAAAGTTTTTAATTTTTCCAGTCTGGCCATTAACAGACTTTGGCACAAAACCTAATCCAACCCATATGCCATTTGGTACTAATCATGGGGAAGAATTCTTCATTTAAGGATGGAATGGAATATCTTACCTTCCTCCTTCTTTTTAAGCTATGAAATCAAATCACCAAGAACAGTTAGAGCAAAAGTGTCAGGTACCATATTACAGAAAGAAAATAGGCTTAAGGAAGCCTTGGTCTGCAACCCGTGAGGTGGATACAGGCAATGTTGTGATGTAATAGATGAAACAGCAGTATTGTGGTTTCCAACCTAGCCTACCATCCAAAGTGGTTATTGACGACAAAACTTGACATTTTTACAGAGCCTTTTAGCTTCCTTTAGATTTTTTAAAATCACCTTTACACCACAGTTCTGTCTAAATGTCAAAAATAAAAAGTTAGCAATTAACTGGTGAACAAAGACCTAACTGCTAGCTATTTTTCTCAGGAGGTTGTGGAGACCATACCAAAGTAAAAACAGGATTGAATATTGGGCTTACAATGCTGGTGCACAGAAACATGGCTTCAAAAAATGCACTTCTGTATGCTAAAAGTAAGTGTTTACTGATACATTAGGTTTAACTGTGATAATACAGTTACAGGTAGGGCTCTATTTTCCTGCAACAGGGCACAGTTCTAAACTTCTGGATCAAGGGTCATATGGACGTGTTGCCATAGTCACCAGATGCACTGTGTAGGAGAGGCCTAATACATTATTAGGGGGGGCATAAGCAGGTGGAGTCAGGACGGGCTTTAGTTATGTCCAATCAAATCAGCTCCTCTCATCCCCTTAAAAGAGCTGGGCAGAAACCTGATTGACTGATGTCACTGATGTCATGACATGGAAATATGAAAGGAAAGATTCTTTCCATCTACCTTCTTCTCCTACTATTTACCTACTCCATTCCTAAATTGACATTGACAACACTATTTATGTAGAAGTACTGGACATAAATTTTCACTTAGTAGTCTGCTAATATCACTGACCAGCTTTTGTGCATGAAAGAAAGAAAGTCTCTGGTCCTGTAACCAGCATTATATAGTGTAATTTACTCACATCTGCAGCCGATGCATGATATCCAAGGGGGTCTCACATGTAACTTTATAAACATTTCACTGTTTTTAAAATCGTACAGTTAAAATATATTATAATCATTGCATTTATGGTGAAACTGATTGTGGTCCACCAGAGCGCACAGCCAGTGGATGTATTGTTAACTTTTTCACCACCTACAGTTGCTTTCAAAGCTGATCTAACTATCATAAAATGGAGAAACAGACAAAATATATATCCCCGTGGTAGTAATGAAGGTATATCTCTGTGAAACTTGTTCTTTTGAAGAAATATTGTAACTTAACAGTGACAGCAGAGCACAGTGAGGTCGGATGTGTATAATAGCACAGGTCTGTAATTTGCCTTGATTTGTCTTTACTTTCATTTCATTTATCTTATTTAATCTTTTAATATTTGGATTTGGATTTCCAAACACCGGCTCCAACTCACCTCTGGCTACATCCTGGAACCATGAATTCTGCTGTGTACCAAAATATCCTGAAGGAGAATGTCCGGCCATCCGTTTGTGACCTCAAGCTGAAGCGAACTTGGGTTCTGCAGCAGGACAATGATCCAAAGCACACCAGCAAGTCCACTTCTGAATGGCTGAAGAAAAACAAAATGAAGACTTTGGAGTGGCCTAGTCAAAGTCCTGACCTGAATCCAATTGAGATGCTGTGGCATGACCTTAAAAAGGCAGTTCATGCCCGAAAACCTTCCAATGTGGCTGACTTACAACAATTCTGCCAAGATGAGTGGGCCAAAATTCCTCCACAGCGCTGTGGCAGACTCATGGCAAGTTATCGAAAACGCTTGATTGCAGTTGTTGCTGCTAAGGGTGGCCCAACCAGTTATTAGGTTTAGGGGGCAAACACTTATTCACACAGGGTTTTGTAGTTTTGGATTTTGTTTTCCCTTAATAATAAAAACCTTCATTTAAAAACTGCATGATGTGTTTACTTGTGTTATCTTTGACTAATATTTAAATTTGTTTGATGATCTGAAACATTACAGTGTGACAAACATGCAAAAAGATAAGAAATCAGTAAGGGGGCAAACACTTTTTCACACCACTGTATGGTCAAACGTTGTTTGACCATATGTATAGCCACACACTGAGGATTAATTTATTCAACTTATTTAAAAAAATAATCTTTCTAAATTATCACACATATTTCATGATGCACAATAAATTATTCAGTGAATTGGGGTAGATAAGTTGTAGATTTAGGAGTTAAATTAAGTTGATGTGCGCTGTGCATTTCCTATGTTTTTATGGGTGTAGTAGGTCTAATGCTCTAAAAGGTGAATGAATATGACACTTGCTATTGGCCAGAAGTAATAGATATAATATCACCTTTTCAGGTACTATCAAGTTTGTGTCTGCTATTTGTTTTGGAGCTCTTCTGGTCCCTATTGGCCAAAAATGTATGAATGAATTTGTTTCATTACAGTACAATGTAAAAGGATTTTCAAATATTCTGAACTGAAATTTTGGCCCAATGGAACATTCAGCCATAATATAAAAGGAAGGTCTGCTGTGTGTTAGCACAAAGTGAGCACAAACAGGTTTTTTTTTCTGTGCCAGTTGGACAGGTTTTGATGCACATAGCCTACATGTATATATACATTATTTAGTTCTGCTTGTGACCCAGTTGCAGTTTACTTTGATTATAATTACAGTTAATGATAATTTAGAGGCAGCACGGTGGCGCAGTTGTTAGCACCATTGCCTCACAGCAAGAAGGTGCCGCGTTCAGGCCCCACCTGGGACTTTTCTGTGTGGAATTTACATGTTCTCCCTGCGCTTGCATGGGTTCTCTCCGGGTACTTTGGCTTCCTCCCACAGTCCAAAGACATGCAGCTTAGGTTGACTGGTGTCTCTAAATTGCCCGTGTGTGTGTGTGTGGTTGTTCATCTTTGTGTTAGCCTTCGATGGATTGGCGACCTGTCCAGGGTGTACCCCACCTTTGCCCAATTGCTAGCCAGGATTGGCTCTGGGCCCCGCCCCCCATGACCCCGTTCAGGGACTAAGCCGTAGAAAATGAATGAATAATTTATTTATATTCAGTGAAAGTAATCCTCAGTACTAAAGTCTACACACACATGCACACAAATTTAAAGAATAATGCTGGCCATTTTCTATAAAATTTTCAAAACCTGCCATACAGAGACTAAAACTGACAATGAATTGCCTCTATGTTTTAAGCCTCTCAGTGTGTCAATTCTGGATTAGTTTATTCATCTATACTGTAGACCTCTGTTGTTGTTCAAAAATGATTATAAATACATCAGTGAAACACAACACTGTGCTGGGTGACATATTTCTTCATTTCATCAGACAGTGGTGTTCCTCCCTGTGGAAATTTATTTCACAGATGAGCAAGCTAAGGCAGTGCTAGGGGTAGTGCCGTTGCCTCACAGCGAGAAGGTTCCGGGTTCGTGACCTTTCTGTGCGGAGTTTGCATGTTCTCCCTGTGCTTGTGTGGGTTCTCTCTGGGTACTCTGGCTTCCTCCTACTGTCCAAAGACATGCGGCTTAGGTTGATTGTGCCTCTAAATTGTCTGTAGGAGTGAGTGAGTGAGTGTGTGTGTGTTGGCCCTGTGATGGACCGGCGACTTGTCCAGGGTGTAACCTGCCTTTTGCCCGATGCTGGCTGGGATTGGCTTCCGCAGCCCTGTTCGGGACTAAGCGGTATAGAAAATGAAAAAGAAATGAACAAGCTAATCCAGAACTGAGAGCTGACAGACATTAACCATGAGTAGAGAATTCACTGACAGTTTTAGTTTCTGTGGGGAGATTGCTGAAAATACTATTAATATAGAAAATGACCAGTCTCAGCCTTTAAATTAAAACATAGTGTCTTGACTGATATAGGGTGGGTTTGGGTTAAAGATCTCAGGTTTAATGTAGCCAGAAGAGGTGTTGATAGTGCTGTTATTGCATATTTAAGTTTGCATCTCTAGATATTCAGTAATCTTTGCATGAAAAGAAATCTGAATAGCTGTAGAAGTATTTTTAAATGATCTACTATACTTTCCCTATGTTCTCAAACACAAAAATAACTAACTACATCCTGGTCACCTAGGCCATTTACCTAGCTTCATTTGTCATTGTTTTATCCACTGATAACCTGCAAGGCACAGTGTGATTCACCAGTGTTGGCCATAGGTCAACTTCCTCTTTGTTAATAATACAAGAATTAATATTTTATCCATTAAGGGTGTAGTTGGTGACACTGATATATTGCCTTTCTTTAGAAGTTAACCCTACATTTTCTGAAAAGAATGAAATACATTCAAAAGGACAGTTTACAGTCCAAACATTAAAACCAACAGATATTAAACAGGTGCTAGCATTTCTGGCAACTACTATACAAGGAAACATGAGGTGTAAAAGGATAAAAGAAGAGGTTCAAGTTTCAAATTCTCAGGTGTTTTGCTGTCCTCTAGACTGTGTTTGTGCATCTTTTCATGTGTAGGCTTCTTTCCTAGGCTTTCTGCCCACTTAATAATTGAGATCTCCCTTTGTCCCTCACACATACATAGATGTACCTAGATTTTCCCACAAGGGTTTAGTCAGAGGAGGTGTTGTGTTACCATGGGATAGATTTCTTTAACTGTAAATGCAGGGCAGGTTCAGCTGGTTTTCCTATATTGTGTGATCATTTCTGTGTTTAATTACCATTTCGGTAAATGTTTAAGCCAGTGTTTTTTATGTTTTTAGTTTCCTGGTGAAAGAAGCTCAAGCGTATGCATGTGTATTGGCTGCTGTTTTAGGTAGTACGTGTATGGACACAGCATATATAAGCTCTGTGGGCCGTTTATGCATGTCCTATTGGTTGTACCTGCACGCCTGCAGTAAGCATCAGCCAGCATGACTTCACAGCAATGGATACTAGTAGTCTGCTTCTCACTGGCCTCAGGTACCACATAATCTTTCATTTAGTCATCTGAATACTAATTAATTTAAACAGAAAAACTGAGAAGACAAAACATTTCAAAATTTATTATAGTATAATTTTATAAAGTGGCCAGAAATGGAATTTTTTGCAAAAACATTTGATGGAATAATTTAGTGTTTATATTCTATAAATATTTGAAGTGTTTCAAGGGTGTTTTAACTCAGCATTTTATCAGTAATTTTGATTCTTAAAGTACATTTGTATTGTAAAGTATGCTTATGTACTTAAGTGACTTTTCCAATGCAGTTTTTATACTGCAGTATTCCTACTTTTGCTTTTCCAGAGCTACTGTGCATTATAGCAGCATCTTATCCAATATCCAGTATAACAGTAACATTCCTGTTATATCCAAAGTAGGTGTTTTTATTCATTGTTAATGTTTACATTACTGTGACACTGCATTTTTCTCCCAGTTTTAGGGACAGCTGAATCAGTGACAACAATAGAAACTCAGAAATGCAAGTACATGTTAGTCACTATTGCATAATAACTGCTCTTTTTAAAACATTTATTTTAAAATTGTTAATCTTGTGATATAAAACTGACTTATCTGAATTTGTTTTACAGCCTTCCATGGTATTATTTGTAGGCTTTTCCTCAATAATAATTGTAAGGTCTATACCTTATGTCCCGAGATGTCTTTTGTTGTGATTTGGTGTTATACAAATAAAGTGATATTGAATTGAATCTTAAGCAATGATAAGGAAAAATATATCTATTTTGAAAGCAACATTTTGAAAGCCCTATGCTGGAATTATTGAATTCAGTCATGTCTTCAGCTACTGTTCATAACAAAATTATTAAACTGACCCTTGTTATGATCAGACACTTGCAGGACATTCGGTAGTGGAGTCATCCAGCCTTTCAATGGTTCAAGTTTCTATGTGAAATCCAATTGCCCTTTTACCCTCACCCGCTTCATCCACAACCGTGTTGAATGTGACATCACCACACAACGCGGCAACAATGGGCTTCTGGTCAAAGTCGAGATCATTATCAACAAAATCAGAACAGTTTTGCAGAACGGAAGCATCCTGGTGGAGAAGAAAAGGTTTGGCATCAAATCCTAACCCGCCCTGAGACCATTTCATTACTGAAAAACTGTAGCCACACAGAAAACAAATGACATACAAATCTGATCTAATCAAACAAACCTTTGTAAAAAAAAAAAAAATTAATATATAAATCTACAAATTCAGGTTGCAAGATAGCAGCAGGTGAGTGTTTTACCTAGCGATCACTCACTCAAATGGCATTCATTGTTATGATAGGTGTGTGTTGTGGAACCCAGATGCAGACTCAAACTAAAAGGAGTAGGAACTATAGAAAGCAGTTTATAAAATTATTAACAGGTATGCTGAGTGGCAGGAAGGGCACCCGGCAACAGAGGACGGGCAGGGG